TCATGTTAAATCACGTGTGAGATTTTATTTGCTGTGTTTGGTAGTTTTCGAGCTTTTTGCGTGATCTAAAAGTCCAACAATGGGCTCTATTCCTACTGACATATTCCTTTTTTTTACATGTAAGACACACCCGTACGAGCACAGCCAAAACACTTGTATAGCTAATATCAAACGATACACCATTTCGAAAATGATTGTATAGACAATGTCAAGGATATAGCACGAGATACGTGTCCAATGTCACAATAGCGGCGAACATCAAAATTCATTCTATGGTCATTACCCGCATAGTTAGGTATTCAAATCTGTAGTACTGACCATTTATCATTAGCCAATCCAAAAGGTACAGAAGAGAAACTCATTTTTCTTGGTGCTTCCTATGAAACAAGTGGTTAGATATTTGAGTTAAACAGGGCTTGCCGAGATGCTCGTCTTAATCCATGACATTATACTTTATGGAATTGATCTTATTTTTAGCCCATGTTGATCAAGACAATATTGATTACTCAATTGTCTTCACGCGGATTTTTATCACTAACGTTGTTAATGATGTTTGCACTTCTGTAGGAATACTCCTGAACTCATTGAGGCTGTTAGCGCGGATGGATTCAGCTGTAGATACTTAAAATCCTCTAATGAATTGTCCTCATCAGGTTTGCGTATATATGCTCACGCTGCCTCCCAGATTATTTGTAGAAAATATAAGAGAACTGAGCCTTTTATTCCATTGTCGCCAATGCTAACCGCTGATATTATTACCTGTCCAGGAAAAATATGGGTCTCACCATCTGAAAGATACGCCGTTGTTCCTGATGAATCTGTGAGCACTTCAAATTTCTCAGCTGTTTCACATCCAAATAAGAGAAATTTTGCATCCGTAACTCTTTGTTTGTTTTGTTGCCGTTTCATACTAAGTACTCAGATAAATCGATAAAAGAACAAAAACATGTGTTGAATACAATGAATCAAAGATATAACTTGAATGTCACTAGCTATATATATTTACATCTAAGATGAACAGGTTATCAACCGAGGAGCAAAGCCGAAAACGAAAAACTGGAGCGACGCAAGTGTACCACAGACTTGAGCTCTGCAAGTGTATCACAGACTTGAGCTCAGAGTGTATCACCCGCCTGTAAATTGTATCTTTATGTTCCCAAGTTTGAAGCTCCTGATTTGAAACCAACTGATGTATTATCTATCCTTCATTTATGACATTATAATTTCTCATGCCAAAGAAAGTTTGGAGTGCTTGATTTCTGATTTCCGTTAGAATTTTCTTCAGAAAAATCGTCATATATAATTGTAGGACTAATTGCACATAGGGCGTCGGTAGTATTGCTCTTTTGAACTTTGCTATCCCCGTAGGCTATTGCAGGTAGGCCTCTGAGCTTGAAATTTTTTGAACCCTTTCATGTCTATCTGCAACAATACATTTTCACTTAGGGGGTCTATCCGCAACAACAGATTTTCACCAAGGGGCTCTATGTGCAATTAACCGTGCAATTTAGCCCCCCCGCCTTGCTCTCAATTCTCTCCTCATCTGAGCATTTCCCCAGAATTGACGAAGAAACCACTGATTGGTGATGCTGTACCCCCAAAGGTGCTCCCCTCAATCGACGGCGACCCATGATAACCCAGGGGAAGCGGTCTATCCGGTAGAGCTGGCACGTCGATGTCCCCCTCGAGCATCTTGAGGGCGTCCGATATCGTTGGCCTCAGCGCGACCATGACATGAGCACACAATATCCCCACCATCACGAACCTCTCCATGATCCCCCTCGGGTTCTGGTTCCCTGCCCCGTCCGTCAACATGCACGGGTCGAGCACGTGCTCCGCCCTCCCTGCCTTCACCTGCGTCCACGCCCAATCGGTAACCAGCACCATGTTCGTCGGTGATGACATGTCCAGTGCCTTCCTCCCGCTCATGATCTCCAACACTACCACTCCGAAGCTGTATACGTCGCTTTTCTCAGTCAGCTGCCCGTAGAGCGCGTACTCCGGGGCGAGATACCCGTGAGTTCCGGCGACCCTTGTGGTGAGGTGAGATTGCCCTTCTCTTGTTTGCCTCGCTAGCCCGAAATCGGCAACTCTTGCCCTCATCTCGCTGTCGAGCAAGATGTTTGTGGCCTTGATGTCACGGTGATAAATGGCCGGTTTTATACCGTAGTGAAGATAAGCCAACCCTTTCGCCACGTCGAGAATTATTTTTCGCTGCGGCACGTCGGTAAGGCGACCCGCGGCCACGTTGGGTGTCGTCGTGCCGCGGACATTGGTCGTCGAGGTCGTTGGCATGTAATCGCACAAAGGAACCTTCTGGGTGCCTTCCTCCGTATCTCTCCCGGGTGATGCCACAGCCCGCTTCAAGGCCGAGGTTACGGTGGGAGTTTGATGATATCGACTCTGTTCTTGAAATCCTCGTCTTGAAATTCAGACTCCAGTTTTCTGAGCGGACTGCTGCGTCGGAGGGTCCCTGTACCACCAAACCCCGCGTCCGAATCAGGTTAGCTGCGAGAAGTTCGGTGGCCTTACTAAGCTCCTTGTGTGTAAAACCAAGACCGGTATTCGCCGAGGATAACGACGGAGCGGCTCCAATCCCGCTGCGCGAGGACTTCTGCAGCTCGTCCCTCTTTTTGGCTTATCCACAAGCAGAAGCAGATGAGGCAGGAGATGACACCAACGCGCCAGCGGCAGCAGAGGCGGTTTCGGGCGAACGACGGCGGTGTTGTAAGAAGTGACCCACCGCGGCGTCGCGTCGGAGTGAAGGCAAGTTGTTTTTTGAGACCGAAGAGCAGTGCGTAGAAGGGTCGTCAGGCTCTCGGGTTGGCGACGCGCGCGTCAGGTTGAACGCGAGTAAAACGCATTGGTGGCCGGTGGGAGACGATGCCGTCGATGGCGTTGACACGCGTCAGCCTCGTTGCGGCGTGTACAGGCGGCCGCAGAGGTGAGGTCAGAGAGGATCGCCGCCGCGGCTGAGGTGAGGGAGGTGATGTGGGGCCCACCTTGGAGCGGCAGCGTAGGTTCTGGAGTGCGGCTGCAGAGAAGGGGGATGAGAGAGGCGGCCGGGTCGGGGAACGGAGGGGAGAGGGAGGAGGGGAGGGAGGAGGCGAGGAGGGAGGATGAATCGAGAGCAGCGGAGGAGGAGGAGCGTGGGAGGCGGAAGAGGGAGTGGAGTGAGGCGGGAGGAGAAGCCGAGGCGAGAGGCTGAGGCAGAGCGGGTGAACGCAGTTGGTGGAGGCTTTGCCCGGGGCCGACGAGCGGAGGAATACACGGTGTGGTCGCCGACGGGAAGGTGGTGAGTAGGAGAGGTCCATGGGGAGCCGGCGGGGACGGCCGGGGGTGGGGAGAAAGATCGTCTCATTCATCATCATACACACACCGCGTAGGACGGAGATGATACTTGGAAGGCCCATAATCGTGTGGGTCGGGGTGGAAAAAATGATCGTTCGGGCGAGCGTACGTTGCTCGCATCTGTTTTTCCGCCTCTGTCTGGGGTCCTGGGTCAAACTTGGTGCTGCCGTTGAGCGGAACGGTGGGCTGGACCGTTGGATGAGGAAGGCGATGGGAAGGTGGGGCGTTTCTTCAAGTTAAGTTAATCCCCTGTAGAGCCGTCAGCGACGAGGGAAGATGGGGGGAAAACAATAGTGTTTTCTTTAGTTATCTATTAGCACCAAACCCAACGTTTTAAGTCCATTTGTTCCTAAACCCACGGACTTACAACGTTGCTCCTAAACCCAGGCATCGTTATTGAATTATTCTTTTAATCCACTCAGCGTAGTTCGAAAATATAACAAGTCGTAACAAAGTGTTGCAATTTGCACGAACATAAGAGCACATGACGTGCCAAATTGCCCAAAAAAAAGCAATTTTTAGTGAGGTATTTTGGGTTTGTGAGTAGGTTCTGGAAGTTGACGGGTTTAATCAGCGAAGGGTTGTGAAACTTTGGGTTTGGGGGCAAAAAAACACAAAAGGAAAAGAAGTTTCAAAGATGATGGGTGATGTTTTTGTTTGTATTGGCTGGCATGCATTTGACCAGGAGGGATTAACGGCAATTTGCAACGTGGGCTTTGTTTAACCAAGTGGGTTTTAGTATAATTCAACTTTTAGTTCCGTAACTGTCTAAGACTGTTTGGGATTCGGATCCTTTCCGCTAAATCTAGGGCTGTCCATCCGGGCCGGCCCGGCCCGGCCCGGCCCGGGAAATCGGACCCGGGCCCGGGCCTGGGCCCGGGCCTGAGCGGGCCGGACACCGGGCCGGCCCGGTTTGATTTTTTTTAAGAATTTTTTTTTATTTTTTTTTTATTTTTTTAAAATTTTAACAAAACCATAAATCATAAATTATTTTAACAAAACCATAAATCATAAATTATTATAAAAAATGTCATAAATGTAATTAATAACTTGAAATGAAATGACATAAATTACAAGTACAAAAAATGATAAAAATAACTTCTTTATTAATAATCGGTAAATCCTTTACAAGTATAAATTTATTTCGAAATTCGTCGCATCACAATAGATGAGTACATCCCAACTAGGTTGGCACCTACTCACCCATATCACTATCATTTGCAACTTTTTTCGAAATAATTTAATTCAAATTTAAAGCTAAGAAATAAAAATTACAATTTTATGAATATTATCTAATCATTATATCTATCTGCTAGTCCCAACTCTTCAAATTTATCTTCAATCATAGCAATCCGTTCGATGCCTTGTGTTCGCTTCTCGTATCTCCACCAATCCTGTAAGCACATCACCGCTTGTACAGTATACGGATCTAAGCATGTCCTGTGGTCGTCGATCAAACGTCCTGCTGTGCTGAAAGCGGATTCCGAGGCTACAGTCGAAACCTGCACTGATAGTAAGTCACGAACCATGGTGGAAAGTATAGGATATGAAACTGATCCATATACTTTCCACCATTGCAAAATATCTAAAGCATTTCCTTGACATCTAACTAAAGAAGCAGAAAAATATTCATCTATTTCAGAAACATCTAATCCTGATGAAGTTCCAGATCCACCAGTTAGTTCAGCTACCATTGCATACCTATCAAAACTTACACTTTTACCTCGACCTGTGCTCGAAGCTGAAGGTGCCGAAGCTGAAGACTGTTGTGTAGCTACACCATATCTAGCTGCATACTCATCATATAAGGTTTGAAAATAATTTCTAATAGCTAAATAATGAGTAGTAGCAGTAAGGGTGGATCCATCATCTAAGTCTATAATCTGTCCACCATACAATGATTGTAACAAACTTCGAAGGCCAATTTCCTTCAAGCATGGATCAATAAGAACACCAATACCAAAAATATGAGGAATAGGCCTAAAATACTTATTAAATTTACTCTCCATTTCAAAAATTATACTTCCAAAAATATCATCCATACGATATTTTGTAAAATTTTTTTGAATATTTAAAATTTGTAAAGCAGCTAAAGTAATAGTTGGATAATAACAACCAGATAATAACATAGTAGCATCATAAAAAACTTGTAACATCTCATTTAATTTACATATAACTGTCCATTCATCTTCAGTTATTCCATAAGCACTACCAGAGCTAGAACTAGAAGCATAAAAATTTATAAAATCATTTATAATTTCTTTATATTCTATTGCTACAGATAACATTGCATAGGTGGAATTCCACCTATGGTCAACATCTTTTGGAATTAGTCTAGGCTTATAATTTTTTCTTTTACAACATTGTTTCCATCTTTTAATTCTCATTTCAGAAGCATTATGCATATTAGTAACTGTTCTAACTTTTTCTATCATGGGTTTAATTTCAGAAAATGCACTTTGAACAATTAAATTTAAAATATGACAGATACATCTAACATGAAAAAGCTCACCATGACATGGCAATGACAAAGTTATTTTCAGAAAATCAACAGCTACATTATTATTACTTGCATTATCTAGTGAAAGAGTAAATATTCTTTGATCAATTTCTAGTTTCATAAGTTCTTCAACAATTAAATTTGCAACATTAATACCAGTGTGTGACTCTTCAATTGCAATAAAAGAAACAACTCTTTTAAACATTTTCCAACTTTCATCAATCCAGTGTGCTGTTATACATAAATAACCAGTTTGCACTCTAGATGACCAAATATCAGAAGTTAAAGAAAATTTGCAGTTTAAATTTTTAAAATAAGAAATTATTTTTCCCTGTTCCTCAACATAATATTTTAAAATATCACGTTGACAGGTTTGACGAGAAAATTTTGTAAATGCAGGATAAAAACCATCTCTAAATAAATCTTCAAATTCATCATCTTCTACTAATTTAAAAGGAAGGTTTTTAAGAACAATAAACCTGATTACGCATTTCCGGGCTCGGGCAGCGTCATAATTCCAACTGCCGAGGGTACCTGAAGAGGATGATTGGGAAAGCATAGACTGCCGGATATCACCTTGTAGATTTTGGCCTTTGTTGTGTTTTTCAATATGCCGTTTGAGATGGTTGGTGCCGCTCTTATGATGAGCTTTGAATATCTGGCCGCACAACGCACATTTCGCATTCTGAGAGATGATCCTACCGTGTTCATCCTTGGTGACGTCTATCTTCTCAAAAAAATTCCATACATCAGACCTCGGCCTTTTTGGAGCTCTTGGTGCCGTAGATTCGTCGCCACCAGATTCAGGATTAACACCGGTAGGATGAGGAGTTGTTGTAGGAGGACTCATCTCTGGATCGGTAGGAGTTGCATGTTGCTCTTCATAATCAGACCCAGAAGCCATTTGTTGGAAGTATTAGAAAATACAAAAGATTATAGGATAGTATATTAGTATGAGATAGTATAAGATTGTATAAGAGAGTAGTAGAGAGAGAAATAGATGAGTTTTGTTGTGAGAAAATGAATTGAAACCCCCCCTCTATTTATAGAAGCAGCCCCCTAGGTAAATGACCAAAAAACCCTCGAAAAATAGCCGTTTTTTGACCGTTTTAAGGGGCAAAACGGTCAAAAGACCAAATCTGGCCGTTAGGCCAGAGTTTGTCGCCCGTTGGCCGCGGCCGCGCGCAGCCCGGCCCGGCCAAAACGTTTGCTTCTCGTCGTAGCGAAGGTGACCGTTTTGGCCGGGTCCGGCCCGCGATGTGGATCGTCGGCCCGGCCGGCCCACGACATTTAATTTCTTTCCAAACGGTCGACATTTGTGACCGTATCGGCCCGGGCCGGGCCGGGCCAGCCGGCCGGACCGGCAGGCACGGTTCACGTCTGTCGACCGTTTTGCCGCGGGGCGGGCCGGCCACGCCATTCGAAAGCCCATGTGCCCAGTTTT